CCACATCCTAGTTAATTAGCATAATAATTTGTTTAATGCTTTGGTTCTACCTTCTTCTACTTCTAGTTCATTGCTTACTACCAGGGGTCTTAAAAATTTGCAAGTAGCTGTAAAAAGTGTAGCATTTGGTCTCTTTGTCTGAAGCAACAGAAAAAGGAAGAGTCAGGAATAGGAGGAGAATATGGAATGCGTGGCTAATTACCTCCATGAACAACTGCCTCCTTTGCCATGAGATCAGAACTGAATGGTGCCTGGCTACCATTGTTAGACATTTTGATGTAAGATTTTACAGAAGAATCCTGATCAAAGAGGGGAAATGTATAACAGAATTTCAAATTCTCATAAACTCCAGACTTTCTGAAGCCATGAGGGCTGCATATATTCCTGAAACTATTGCCCTGATATTATCTTTAAAATGTATACCAAAAATATTCTCGAAAGTCTTATTAAAATCAAACAACAGTTTAGTGAAAAAATGTTTACCTTGAGCACTAAAGCTCTTTAACAACTATCTATAGTAATTCTTAGTGTGCCACTGTAGGATAAACATTGGACTTGTTAGTGGTTCAAACCCCCCCAGCTGCTTCTTGGAAACCCTGTATGGGGTCATTATGAGTCGGAATTGACTCGACAGTGCTTAACACCAACATATGGGATCAAAGTGACAACAGCAACTCAAAAGGTTAGACAGTAAGTGTAGGGGGCAGAGAGATAATGTTAACAGGGAGGAACAAGTCAGAAAAGGAAAGTGGGAATGGCTGCACAAAGCAGGGAATGTAATCAATATCATTGAATTATACATGTAGAGATGGTTGAATTGATGTATGCTTTGCTGTGTATACTCTTCTTGTTAAGCACCATCAACTCAGTTCTGACTCACAGCGACACTGTATAGAGTTTCCAAGGAGCCATCTGGTGAACTTTAACAGTCAACCTTGTGGTTCAAATAGACCTTAAGTCGAGAGCACGCATTAACCCCCAGTGCCACACCAGGACTCCGCTGTGTATATAACCAGCAACAAAATTAAATTGAAAAAATAAAAAAGAAAGAAAATTCTGAGACATATCCATGGAGTAGATGCTGAACACAGAGGCAATAGGACACACCAAGATTTTGGGATTCACTGACTTAAAGACTTCAGTGTCAGACATATAGGGATGAAGACATGAAGAGGCAAGACCACAGGACTGAACCAAGAGTTGAAATGGCCAAGTCTGTACCCCTTGTGAGCTGGTTGTTGCAGTTAGCTCTGGGATCCTGATGGAATGCCAACCCTGCATTTGTGTGAAATACAACTGGAGTATAGCATCTTAAATATGAATCAGTCTACATCTCTAGAAGGGAAGGAAAGTGAAGATGTAAAGAAACTGGTGAGCATAGGAGAAAGAAATCAAGGCTCTTAAAATGACTGCCTTCCAATTAAAAGAAAAAAAAAAGATCATTTGCTAACTTACCCGGTCCCACGTGTGCTCCTGCTATAAGATGAAGATGCTGAATGCAGGCAGTAGCAAGGTCTACCACTCTATCAACCATAAAACTTCCCTCTGTATCAATAAAAATGGCTTCACCTGCCACTCCTCCAAAACATTCTGGTATCTGCACATCTACTGCCAACTGCATACTGTCAAGAGAAAGAAATCAAACCATAATCATGATCACTTCAGGCAGTGCTTTTTTTAAAACTCCAGATCCATTAGGTATCACTATATATTTTACAAATGCAAATAAACTTTTGGTTATTAAAAAAAATGGTTTATAACTCATTACTATACCATTTAATAATACTGAGAGGGAAAAACCCTTATAATTTTATATTTAGAATGATTAAAGAAATCCACCCACTAGAATGTTATCTAGTACTAAAGAGAAGGTAACAGCGCTGAGGAAAACCCAGTGGCTCCAAATGAAAAGCATTGGACTGTGAAGCACAAAGTCCACAGTTCAAGCCCACCAGCTGCTCCACAGAAGAACGATGACGCTTTCTGCTCCTGCAAAGATGTGTAGCTTCGGAAATCCTATAGATAGTCACTGTGTGAATTGGAACTGACTGGATGGCACTTAATAAAAATAGCACTGAACCAAAGGTGGCACAAATGGTTAAGTGCTTGACTACTAACCTAAGATAGGCAGTTCAAACCCACCCAGAAGCACTTTAGACAAGGCCTGGCAATCAGCTCCTGATAGATCACAGCCATAAAAAATCCTGTGGGTCACAGTTCTACTCTGCACTATGTGCTTCGAATGGAGTCGCCGTGACTCAGAGTCAACTTGATGGTAACTGGTTAGAATGAGTTTTTTTTTTAAAGTAAAAGTGGTGTATTTTAAGAAAAAATAAGAAAGTTACTTTCATAAAAAGTAAGTAGTGGGTAACTTGGGTGGAGGATAGAGGGGCTTGTGAGGATACTGGTATCGTTCATGCAGTGGGTCGCTTTATAATTCTTCATTAAAATGAATGTGTTTTATGAACTTTCTGGTTGGTATGTCTTAGAACTTTTTTTTAAAAAGAAAAAATAGCGTATAGAGATTAGTACTAGACATTAAGATGGCTTGAAATCTCTTGCTAACCTCTGAAGAAATCATGAATGACAATCACACAAAACTATTTGAAAAAGGGGAGATCTTAGATATGACAAAGCATGAGTAACAATATACAATATATCAAATGAGCTTCATAAATACTAAAAACTTATGTATTTCTCCCATGTAAACTATCATATAATTCACAATAAAACACACACACATGCAAAAAGATGGAGATAAGATTATGATTCAATAGTAACTGTTATCATGACTAATTGCGACTGTCACAATCATAACGGTAGAAGTTTTATAACAAACACAGGGGAGTGGTTAATATTACAGTCCAGAAACAAAGGACCCTAGGACCATCAAGGGAAAAGAGCACAGGTGGAATGAGAGCCCTTATCCAGAGAAGCAGCAACACCAGAGATGGAGGCAGAGATGGGGACATGGAGAGAGGAAACAACTAAAGACTCTGGACTCATGGGAAGAGAGGGACTAAGAGCTGGCGGCCAGGGGGCAGACTTGCAGAATGTGCCCTTTGGTGGTGTAAATTAATATATATGCCTGAGTGCTTAAAAAAAGAGCTAAAATGAATAGAGAGAAATACTGTTATCTGATGGCACATGGAAGGGATTATAATCATCGTAATGAAACAAGGTGTATGATTTGTTAAATGTAAAGCTGATGATCTGCCCTATAAACTTTCACTCAATCCACAATAAAAAACCTTTAAAAAAAAAAAAAAAAAACTTATGTACATGAAAGGAATTTACCAATAAAGTACCATTACCAAAATAATAGCAATAACAAACTAGTTGCCATCTAGCTGACTCTACCTCATGGCCACCACAAATGTTCCAGAGTAAAACTGTACTCCATAGGGTTTTCAATGGTTGATCTTTCATAATTAGATTTTCAGGCCTTTCTTCTGAGCACCTCTGTGTGAACTCAAAACTTCAACCTTTTGATTAGCAGCTTAGTGCGTTAACTGTTAGTAGCACCTAAAGAATCCCAAAGTTACCATTTTGTTGCTGTTCAGTATTGTCAAGTCAGTTCCAACCCATAGCTGTATAGCATTTCCAAGGAGCAGCTAGTGAGCTTGAGCCTCTGACCTTCCAATTCAAACCAATGTTGCAGTCCACTGCATTAGCCAGCAGCACCACACCAGGACTCCATATGATCCAGAAATTCTACTCCTAGATGTATAACCCAAAGAACTGAAAGTAGGAACTCAAACAGATATACCAATGTTCCCTACAGCATTATTCACAATAGCCAAAAGGTGGAAACAATGCAAGTATCCATCAGCATATATATAAATAAAATTTGGTATCAAAATACAATAGAATATGTTGGAATACCTAAAATGGGGCTACAACATGCCCAGTGAAGGAGGCTTCCTGTGGAGCCTCTGCAATACATAAGACTA